CATGCCAACAAACTGGCCTATATTAGAATAAAGCTAGAAGTGCAGTTGATGTCTATATCCAGCTGTTTAAGTGCACTGTTACAAGCCAACAACACCATACTCTCGTGCAGCGTTTTTCAACCACTGTGCCGCGGCACACTAGTGTGCCGTGAGAAAACTTTTAAGGACATGCTATGTGTGCATATATGACCTAGTAGAGATGCAGTGATGAGTTTATCAACCCTTTTCAGGAGACAAAAGTCGGTGGATTCATTTTTTCCAGTTGGGGATGATCATCTTTTAGGCATAGAACTGTGAGATACTGTATTATTATTATTATATAGGATTTATATAGCGCCAACAGTTTGCGCAGTGCTTTACAATTCAAAGTCGCGCGATTTGCATGTCTTAGACCCCATTCACACTGAGCGACATGGAAATCGCGCGACTTTGAGCGACGTGTCGCGCGACTTCTTCCTATTGGGCTGTATGCAATCAGGAGCAATATCGCTCAAAATCGCTCTAAAAAAGGGTCATGTAGAAGCGACAAGCTACCAGCGACGAGCTACAAGCGATATTGAGCGACGAGATGTGAACAGCTACATTGAAATGTATTGGTGAAGCTACATAGAGCTACATAGAGCGATATAGTGCGGAAATATGAGCGATATCGCTACAAAAATCGCGCGATAAATCGCTCAATGTGAACGGGGCCTTAGAGTTCTGGATGCTGTAGCAGGTGCTATACTTTCTATAAGTCCCGGAAGGCAAATACAAATTGTAGGGTTACCTCAAAGCTGGGACCTAGGAGACAAACTGTGACTTCCATTCAAACATCTCTAATCTTAGTGCCCCCCCCCCAAAAAAATAGATCAGTCTGTCCTAGACATCTACCCACTCATTCTCATCCAAATTACCAGTGAATGTGAAGGGATAAAGTGCTTTGTAGACCTAAGACTCCTTTTAGCTTTTAAAATTTGTAAGCATGTACATTGTAGACCTCACGCCTAGTAGGCATGGTGGAATTGGAGCAACCACCATCTATCCTGCCAGATTTGACTTATTTGACTTTTGTAGATCTGGTAAAGGTAGTCCTCCCTGCAAACATGGCTCTTGAAGGTTTGTATATTAAACCTAGGGCCTGACAGCCTTCAGAGGAATGATACAAACAGTTGGTAAACCTTTTGACAGTTCAAAATGTGAATCCGTATTGTAGCATTTCTGAGAGTTTCATATTTGCAGATTCATATTTCCAGGGACAGGGGATGGTGTTTCCATACTAGTAGTTTGTTTTTAAGCATACTGTGCAGGGTGGGTAAGAATTAAGTAGATAAAATCTGACACTTGACTAGAAATCTTAACTCCCAAGTAAAAGCTGGCCATACAATTATCTGACTTCCAATTATCTGCAGATTTTCTGTGGTCAGATGGAAAAGGTGCAACAGATTTCTCCATCTCATTTTTTCCATCTGACCACAGAAAATCTGCAGATAATTGTAAGGTGTATGGGCACCTTAAATTAGCTGTGAGACACGCTGTGATGGAAGATTAGAATCAGCTGTGCTCATCTCTAAGGCTATGGTAAGCATATGAGATTTACCCTAAAGGTGCCCATACACTGTACGATTCTCGTACAAGAATCGTACAGTGTATAGAAGGCGTGCGACCGTTTCTACTGTACGGTCGCACGTCTTCCATCGAACAAGCATGCTGGAAAACCCGCCGGGAATCGTACGATTCTCGGCGAGTGAGTGGCCTGCTTGTTCGACAACTGACGAACGGGCCGGTGTGCGCAGGCGCACATTGCCCGTTTGCCGTCCTTGCAAGCATGCCCCTCATTGCAGTCATCGCAAGCCCACCATTCAAGGGGGGCGGGCTAGTGATGATCGCAAGTACGATCTGCCTGTCCAAGATGGGCAGATCGTACGTTTTTTTAAGTACTTTACAACCATCGCAAGACTAAGACAAACATCGCAAGACTAAGACAAACATCGCAAGCCCGCCTCGATGATCGAGAGTACGATCTTCCTGTCCAAGATGGGCAGATCGTACGTTTTTTTTAAAAATTACTATACAACCATCGCAAGACTAAAGCTGGCCATACACCTTACAATTTATCTGCAGATTTTCTGTGGTCAGATGGAAAAGGTGCAACAGATTCCTCCATCTATACTTCACTGTGTGGATGGAGTAATCTCCACCCAGGCCAATCTGTTGCACTTTTTCCATCTGACCACAGAAAATCTGCATATAATTGTAAGGTGTATGGGCACCTTAAGGTCTTGCGATGGTTGTAAAGTGTATGGCCACCTTTACTGACTTGCAGTCTGGAGTACAATGTAAAGGTGCCCATACACCATACAATCATCTGCAGATTTTCTGTGGTCAGATGGAAAAAGTGCAACAGATTGGCTCGGGTGGAGATTACTCCATCCACACAGTTATGTGTAGATGGAGGAATCTGCCGCACCTTTTCCATCTGACCACAGAAAATCTGCAGATAAATTGTAAGGTGTATGGCCAGCTTTAGATTCTCAAAGCTTCCCTCGCGGAGGCAGCCCCATCATCCAAGAGCAGGATCCATTTATTTGCATATAGAGCTAGGCACTTATCAATGTTCCATACCATTGGACTCTTTAAGGGAGAGGTGGAGGGAAGGGCCAACACTGGGCTACATTATCAAGGACAACAAAGTTGGTGAGAATGGGCAGCCTTGTCAGGTTCACCTGCCTATTACAAATGGTTCAGACAAGGTCATGCCAATCATCAAAGCAGGTCTGGGTGATTTGTATAATATGGCAACCGAC